CCACTGTTTTTTGAAAACTCAGCATTCTCTGTCAAATTTTCATACTTTAACACTTGCCATTTTGCTATCCTTAACTGCACTACAGAACTCTGCGTGTGCACTGACTGTTGTTGTTAGATCTCGAGTTTGTCAGGTGACAAAAATTTTGAGGCAAATGTAAATATGTCATGTAATTATATAAATATAAATACTTCATACAGATACAGACGGGTTAATATTTACCAAAAAGTAATTTTAAAAAAATAGGCCATGACAACTTTTGAGGATTGCCTCATAGGACCAGTTCAAGTGGTGGGGCTGGAGTCAGCCCGCAGGCCTGAGTTTGATGACCCCTGTATTAAACAGTCTTCATAAACAAGTAGAAGAACCAGGTGATGTTACAGGTCAGATCTGTGTCTATGATGCTCTGTGGTCCCTCTTTTCATGCTCCACTTTTTCTTTTTATCCATTTTGGTTTAATTTTTATGAGTTGACAAAAATGCATGCATGTAGATCTAGTCATCACTGATAAATTGAAATATTTTTTTACGTTTCATTTGATGTTTCGGTTGACAAAATGAACATTGCTTGTACATAGACCCAAATATTACATAACTCATTCGCTCTGCTCTATACAAAGCATGTACGGGTCACTGAGTATAGTGTGTGTGTGTGTGTGTGTGTGTGTGTTTGTGTGTCTGTGTGTATGTGATGTGTTGTGGTGTGTTTGTGCATCACTGACTTTGTGTGGACACAATTGGAGCTCTATATACAAGATCCACAGTATATGACAAGAATGCGTGCAATGTAAACAGGTCAAAACATGCTTGTATAGGTTTGCAGTGGCGGTGCACACTGCAGAGGAGATGCCATGTTTAATTTTATGAAGCATGCCTGAAAACATTTGTGTTACTGCCAAATGTTTATAGAGATACATTACATAATTTCACTGTAGGAAGCAGGAGATTCCGTTTCGTTTATTTCTTTTGGTGATGGGCCAATATGGATTTTTTTTTTTTGTCAATACCGATATCCTGTTGCTGTAACCGATAATTTAGCTTTTAAAGATCCTATACTCAAAATTGACTCTTGTAAGCTTTAAGCCAGGGATGCACGATACCACTTTATTGAAAACCGATACGAGTACAAGTGTAATCATATCTATACTTGCCAATACTGAATACCGATACCGATACTTTAACCCCCATGAGCATACACTGAGTGCGTTTGCATGCACCTCAGTATCCCGTTTATTAGCCAAATACCGGTTATGTCAGTATTCAAGATATGCCATGATAATATAATGTGTTTTATGCAGCTTTGCACATTTGTTTACGTTTTACAGAAACTAAATTTAAAACCACATTTGACAGAGGATGTGCTGCTGATGGTGAGTCTGTTCTGTGCGTATATCGCATTGCAGATAGTTCATGTTAAACTTTTCAGAGATTATACATGTGCAGGTTGTACGTATGCAGGTCGTACGTGTGCAGCGCAGCTCTTTATTTAACTTTTCACTCATGTACAGTCACTTTATTTATCCCAGTTTCTCATAACTGGGATACTGGCTTATTCAGGATACTGAAACTGGGATAGTACGTAATCTGTCATGTAATAGTGGTATTGGTCTGATACCCAATATCGGTATCAGTGCATCCCTATGTTAAGCCATAAAGTATAGTTACCTGCTCAGAAACATACCTGAAGTTGTTTTGTTTCATTCACACATGTTTGAGTAATCCTTTTTTATTAGCCTGTCTACACCTCCAAAGCTCAAATTGCTCTGTTCCACCTTGTGATGTCATGAAGTGGTAGTTTTCAAGTTAACAGCTACCTTTTACCTTTAGTTCAGTAACAAATGGCTGAAATTATCCAAATGATTCTAGTGAAGGTATATAGCGTTTAAAAACACAGTGCCGCATTTCCTGTATTACCACATGACATCACAAAGTGGAACAGAGTGTTTTACATTTAAGAGAAAAACTCTAAAAAAAAAACTAAATATGCAGGGTTTGTGTGTTAAACATGTGTGAATGAAACAAAACACAACTCCAGGTCTGTTTGTAAAAAGGAGACAACATTATAACTGATCTGAAAATAGCATAATATAGGCCCTTTAAAATAACAACATCTTATTTAAAGGTGCATTGTGTAACTTTTCTGGTGGAGGGTCCGTCAAATGCTTTTCTCCATGTAGATGTTATTGCTTTGTATGGAATGGCCATCAAACCAGACCAAGTTACAGGTCAGATCTGTGGAGTGGCACCCCCGTTCACAGTCAGAATGCCTGGTTTGTTTGTGTTTTTTACGTATTTTTCAGTTATAAAACCACCTATAATTGAATAAATGTAAGATAGAGTTATTTAATGTCATACTGTAGAACATTCAGTGGTCTTCTCTTTCTGGCTGAGTCCCTGCTGAAGTTATATAACAGCGTTTGGGAGCATAGCAATGACAAAAATGCACCAGTCTCTGAGCGTCTCTGAGCAGCTGTGGTGAAGAGGCCACGCTCATAAAACCTGTCTGTGCACCAAATGTGAACTGTGCTGCGAAACAGATCACACCACAACTGAAACTGGAGACACCACAACAGACACATGTGCTTTTGTATCTGAGGACATTGTGTTCTGAGGGGGAAGAAAGTTATGAGCTTGAGTTTTGTCCAAAGTGATCTCATGGGCTGTGTTCATGTTCTAGACTAGAGTTTGTCATATTTTCAGATGGAGGTCATGAGGCTGTGTAACAATGACAGAGTCAGGGTTTATGAAAGAAATGTTCAAAATGGAAAAAAAACTGAAAAGAATGACCCTTTGTGATTGAATTATGGTGCAATTTTATGAAGCAATGTTGAAAAAAAAATCGCCATAGTTAATTTTAACTTTGTGTCAGTTTAATTTTCTGCTAAATTAACCATAAACCAGGTCCCCAAGTGATCTGCTTTTCAGCTCAATTTTAAATTACACTTTCTTTGCTTTACTTAACTTTTTTTGGACCACTATTTTGTTCTTCTACTACCTCTGATTTAGAATCATGTTGTAGTTTCTGAAAAATGTTCAATTGATTGTGTTAGGTTCTATATTTTGTTATTTTATCATTCCAATTTAATCATTTTTTAATGTTTATAAAGAGTTTGTAGCATTTTATTTTCACTATTTATTAATATTTGCACAGACTGTTAATGAAGATTTCAAAAGGGCTTTAGCAGAAATATTTAAAGATTGTAAATTGACTTTTTTGAGCTTTAAGCCATGTTAGAAAGTTGTTTCCTCATCAAAAACAGACCTGGAGTTGTGTTTTGTTCACACATTCACACATGTTTGAGTAATCTTTTATTGTTAGTCTGTCTGCATTTCCAAATCATTCCAGTGTTTGATTATTTTGTTTTGTCAAATTCAGTGTCTACGGAATTCAAATTGATTTCCCTTGTGGATCAATGAAGTCTGTCTAAGTCGAAGTCGTTTTTTTTTTTTTTAATGCATGAAGCGTAAACACCACACTATCATGCTCTGACAATTTCAGAATAGTGCCTGAATAAAAGCAGTGTTTCTTGTTAACCAAATAAACTTGCCTTGTTTTTTTGGGGTAAGATAAACTGATGTAAATCAATCACGCAAATCTAGATCAGTCTTTTGTTTAAGTTCCAGAGTATAACCTGGGCTCTTTACCAGCTCCAGTGCCGTGAGGACTAGGGGTGTGCAAAAATATTGAAATATCGATATCGTACTGCTTAATTTGATGATACAGTATTGATATATCGGCAAGAGTATTTTTAGATATATTTTACTGAATTATTTTGTGTAAGAGCTACAGTTGTGTTGACATTTTCACTGTTTTGATGAGTAAAATGGGTGTTTTTTCCTTTTTAACTTTGCACAAACTTAGTGGAGTTAGTCAACTTTTAGTATCACAGCCATGATTTAGCCTTTGTTTTTCACTGAACTATATCAAGTTGATTTGAAATGTATCGTATCAAACTGTACCGTGGCCTATGTATTGAGGTATGTATCGTATCGGCATCTGCTTAATGATACCCAGCCAATCACACTCATGTATGTGTGTGTATTATTATGAACTATTGTGAGCTCTAGGTGTCTTGAAAAGTGTGATATAAATTTGATGTGAGTAAATGTTATATATTATCAGTGCTGGGGAGTAACAGATTACATGTACCGGCGTTACGTAATCAGAGTACAAATTATGAGTAACTGTATTCAGTTACAGTTACTGTTTCAGTGAGTGGTAATTGGATTACAGTTACTTTGTTGAAATAAATTGATTACATGGTGGTATTTTCCTGTTTTCACATTTTGGGCTAAACCAGGTCTAAACCAGGTCTAAAACCAGGACTAAAACCAGGTCTAAACCAGGACTAAACCAGGACTAAACCAGGTCTAAACCAGGTCTAAACCAGGACTAAACCAGGACTAAACCAGGACTAAACCAGGTCTAAACCAGGTCTAAACCAGGTCTAAACCAGGTCTAAACCAGGGCTAATATGAAGAGAACATACATGAATTTTCAGGATGTGGTTGGTACATTCATGTAGTTTTAAAAAACATGACAATATCAAGTAATCCAAAGTATTCAGATTACGTGACTCACTTTAAGTAATTTAATGGATTATGTTTCAAACTACATTTTGGGGTATGTAATCTGGAATCTGTAGGGGAATACATTTTAAAAGTCACCTTCCCAACACTGTTTATTATGTGAGCTACTCTGTCCAAGTAATTTCCCTTGTGGATCAATATAGTTTGTCTAAGCCTAATGAAAGGTAGTATTATTATTCAAACATGTGCTGATTGTCTCTCCTTGCTCTTTAACCTCATTTTACGCTTATACTTGTCCTTCCCAGTAAAGCCTACAGATTAAAAAAACATTTAAACAGGTGATAATAAAACCACAGTGACAACCAATGAACTGTAACTACAACAAGCAAGATTACTTATGGTTGTTCCGTTGATTACACACATTCAGCTCGTATTTACATTCCTGGGCTAATATTTGTGTTTCTGTCTCAGGGAGAGGCTGAGAGTGGGAGGGAACCAGCTGATGGAGGTGCGGTCGGTTCTGGAGCGCTGTTTGGACATCAACAGTCATCGTTACCCAGCCCAGCCCTGACTCTACACCATAGACTGTATTTATGAATGAACATAACTAACGTGCTAGGTGCTGTGTTCCAAATAGGACGTTCGCAGGCGGGTGATTCCAGCTCCTACTGACCCTGGCTCCCACTGACTTACATTGGAATATTGTGGTCACTCTCTCTGTAACTGCTGTTGTGAGGTTCATCATTTTGGACATAGGACCTCATTTCCTAGTGAGCCAGAGTGTTGGAGACGTGTGGAGACACTTTTTTAGATATTCCATCCAGTCCTTGTATTTGCAGAGGTCGCTGGTGCTAGGCTAGTGCATGTTAATGGCCATAGTTAGCCTGCCGCTAAAAACAGTCTTACCCACTCCACAAAACACCCAAAGCAAATCAGTTATAACACCAGACTGTCCATGTAAATGTCTGTGTTGATAGAATAATTCTAGAAGTAAAACCAACCTTGCATTTGAAGGATTTATGTCTGAGCAGCAGCGAGTTGTACTTCCTGATAGAAAGCCTGGCAGTGGCGGGTTGATATATGAGAAAATAGTCCCTCAACATGCGACGATTTATGCGATGCAAGGTTAGTTTTATTTCAAACATTATTCTATCAATACAGACATTTACATCGACAGTCTGGAGTAATAATAGATTTACTTCGGGTGTTTTGTGGAGTGGGTAAGTCTGCTTTTAGCGGCAGGATAACTATGGCCATTGACATGCACTAGCCGAGCACCAGTGACCTCTGCAAATACAAGGACTGGATGGAATATTTTAAAAAGTGTCTCCACACGTCTCCAACACTCTGGCTCACTAGGACATGAGGTTCTATGTCCGCAATTCTGGACTATCCCTTTAAAATGTTTGTATTAACCTGCTCTACATGGTCCTTTTTTTTCCCCCACTCTTTTGTCAGTCAAAAAAATCCTATTCCTATAGAGCCTGACTCCAGATTTACTCCTGTAACCGTGAGCATCATGAACTTCATTTGAGTGAAGCTGAACATTATGGGAGACGTCCACTTATTTATACAGTCTATGGTCTACTCCCGAGATAGTGAATAATGCACACTTGAATGTACTTTTTGAGTTTTCAGTTAATTGAGTTATGCTGTTTACATTTTATACAGAAATGTATATATTTTGTATTCAAACCAGAGGTGGGTAGCTTTTGTTACAGTTGTAGTTTTGAGAGTAGTTTTTAGACATCTCTTTTTTTAGACCTACTTGAGAAATATTTTTTTTAAAGTAAGAATAGTCTAACTTGAGTAAAGTAAGTCTATAACTGACAGAAGCTTTGTTTTTGTTTTTTTTGTGGTCTATCCTTTCCTTTGGAATTACCACAACTGGGCATTATTTAAAGGCACGTTATGTAACCTTTTCTGGTGGAAAGTCTGTCGCCTGGTTTTGTTCGTGGAGATCTGATTACTTTGTTGTTTTGTTGTTTCACACCCCGCTCACAGTTAGAGCCAATATTTTTTAAGTAGTCTTGAGCAATAAAACCACCTGTAACTGAATAAATGTAAGGGAGATCTGTTTAATGTCATACTGCGGAACATTCCAAGCAGAGCAATGACATTTCCATAGAAACAAGAACATGACTGACCCCCAACTGAAAAGTGACATAGTGCATCTTTAATTTATCCTTTGTCCTTCCAGTTACATTACATTCAAATTTTACTTACAGTTGCCATTACATATAGTTTGAGTTGAGTAATGGTTTCCTCAAACTACTTTTTTTTACTTTTTACACTACTTTGTACTTGTACTTGAGTAATATTATTTTGAAGTAACAGTACTCTAAATTGAGTATAATTTTTCTACCCACCTCTGATTACACCTTTGTTGTACTTTTTGAAAAATGTTCAGTTCATTTACAGTGTTGCTTTCATATTTAATTTTATTATATCAGTTTAATGATTTTTAATGTTTATAAGATTTTGTAGCATTTTATTTTCACTATTTATTAAAATTTGCACAGACTGTTCATGAAGATTTCAAAAGGACTATTTAAAGGTCCTATATTACACAAAATTGACTCTAGTGATTTTTAAACCATGTTAGAATGTGGTTTCCTCCCCTAAAACATACCTGGAGTTGTGTTTTGTTTCATTCACTCATGTTTAAGTAATCCTTTATTATTAATCTGTCCACATCTCCAAAGCTCAAAATGCTCTGTTCCACCTAGTGATGTCATGAAGCGGCACTTTTCAAGTTAACAGTTGCATTTTACCTTTAGTTCAGTAGAGATTGGAAATTCCAGATCTGAAATCATCCAAATGACTTTAGTGAAGATGTATGAAGTTTAAAAACACAGTGGAGCACTTCCTGTATTACCACATGACATCAAAAGGTGGAACAGAGTGTTTTCTTTTTGAGAGAAGAATTCCACCTAAATATGCAGCGTTTGTGTGTTAAATGAGTGAATGAAATCAAACACAACTCCAAGGTTGGTCTTTGATGAGGAAACAAGATTATAACTTAGATCAGAAAAAAACGTAATATGGGCCCTTTAAAGGCTAGTGTGTGAAATGATTTATAAATGACATGGTTTGCAAGTTTATTTGATGTTCTTTTAGGAGATGACATTTGTGAGAGAGCTGTTCCCCTTCCCCTCACCTGGACTCTCCTTTTAAAAGATCGTTTGCAATGTGTATATCCTTTCCCCATATAATTTATTCTATATTTTTAATGATTGGAGTTTACCACAGTCAAATTGTCATGTAGTCTGACAATCAAACTAATTTCCAATATATACGATGCCATAGAAATCCTACTTCTAGATCTATAGTTTAGAGAATAAACTGGATTAGAGTAATATAGAAGATTACCAGATTACAATTACACTTTAATTTGAATTCCCTCTTCTTTTATCCAGGCTGGGGAACAACACTCGGACATTTAGCCTTTCTTTATCGCTTTATACTATAAAGGTGCATTGTGTAACTTTTCCAATGGAGTGTCCATCAAATGTTTTTTTCCATGGAGATGTTATTTGCTTTGCATGAAATGTTTCACAGTATGGTATTAAACCTTTCTATCTTCTTGGAGACCAAACCAAACCCAGTTACAGGCCAGACCTGTGGAGAGGCGACCCCGCTCACAGTCAGAATGTCTGTTTTTGTAGGTATTTTTGAGCTATAACACCACCTGTAATTGAATAAATGTAAAGTAGAGCTGTTTAATGTCATACTGTGGAACATTCCAGGTAGAGCAATGATAAATACATAGAAAGAAACAAGTTAAGGACCTTCAACCAAAAAGTTGCAAAGTGCACCTTTAATATTTTAATAAGTGTGCATATATAAGTAGTAATTGTGTAACGATTATCAGAAGGCTCTTGTATTTTATTTTGTAATGGCTCAACTTTTGTATATATGTTTGTAAGAGTTTATTCTCGCTAAAAAAGTTCCAAAATGTCTTCTTGGTATCTTGAGTCATTTCTGTTACAGTGTTGTTTAGGAACAGGATTATGTTGAAAGTTAGGAAAGTGTTTTGGGTGAATTAACTTTTCAAAACAAATATGTCACCTACAGCTTTATGTCAACTGTTGAAGAAAATGTTCAGAATCATATTTGGTTTGCTGTTGTGGTGTCTTTATTGACTGAAAACTTCATGTTGAGAAACGGCAGACGTCCCTCGTAAACCTTCTCTTGGTAAAACTGAGGTTGTGGTTTCAAAGGAAGATCAGGTACAGTTGAGATAACAGAACGGACAGCAGAAGACACCAGGTGAAGACTCCAGAGGCCTTTGATGGTTTCATGGGTAATTAAGACTAAGGGCCCGTTTACAAAATGACAAAATATTTTATCGGAAGTGTCTTTCATTTAGACAGTGACAGTGTTTTGGGGCTTAAAAACGCAAAAATCTGAAACCACCATCCAGAGTGGAAAAGTTGAATACGCTCCGCCGTAGCATTTCCGTCTACACTGCCCAAGACGCAAAACTCTGCTCAGTTTTTTCATAAACACAGCCTAAAACACAACATTATGTATTGAGGTATACACAAGTATACACGATCATGACTAAGACCAGAGAATAATGACTTTCTTTCACAGGCCATAAAATAAAACATAAAACAGTCAAAGAATATAACTTTTTAGGCCTGTTTATTGATACTTTGAATGTTCAGCAGTTACCATAGAGACAAAATGCAAACATGCACAACGCAAAAACATTTTAACAGAGTGACTAACTGATTAATTGATCTGATAGAGCGTCTGACAGTGTAGTGCCTTTAGTTAGCATTACAGCCCAGAGAATGGTGATAACATCAAGTATCATTACCATGGCAACCAGAGCCTCTCAACACTTTTGGACCCGACTATCCGACACTAACCTTATATTTTTAAGAATGGGATCTTTATCACAGCTAGTATCAGTTATAAGAAGAACACCTGATAATATCAATAAACTACATTTGTTTATGTTGATAATAACATTCTATTGAGAAAAAAGTGTTAATTATCCAGTTTCGAGCCTTCCCTTGGTATCAAAATAGAGTTTAAAGTTTCTGTATTAGGCAAATTTGACTCTTGTGAGCTTTAAGTCATATTAGAATGTTGTTACCTTGCGATTCTATTAAAGGTGTATGGATTTAAAAACACAGTGGAGCACTCCCTGTATCACCACATGACATCACAAGGTGGAGTGTTAAACGTGAGAATGAAACAAAACACAAGTCCAGGTCTGTTTGTGATGAGGAGAGATTATAAATGAAATCAGAAAATAGAGTAATATGGACTCCTTAAAATGAAAGTGTCTTGTCCACAGTGGTGATGCGCCGCAGCGGTGATGAGGCGGTGATGAGGCGGTGATGAGGCGGTGGCTGAGGCGGGGGCTGAGGTGGGGCTGAGGCGGGGGCTGAGGTCGGCGCGTGGGGGTGGGAGGAGGTCACGTGTGAGCTCAAGGTGAATAAGGGGATTAGACTTGGAGGTGACGCAGACATTACACCTGCCACTGTCCTGACACATTTACACACGAGAGAGGGAGGGAGAGGAAGAGGAAAAGAGACGGGGGAGGGAGAAGGAAAGAAGGGAAAAGAGAGGAGGGAGAGGAGAAGAGATAGGCAGAGGAGAGGGGAAGAGAGATACGGGGAGAGAGGGAGAGAAAGAGAGGCAGAAGGAGAAGGGAAGCCAGAGAGAGGAGCAGAGAGAGAGAGGCACAGGAGAGGAGAAGAGAGAGAAGGGGGCAGAGGACAGTGGAAGCCAGAGAGAGGGGCAGGGGGGAGAGAAAGAGGGGGAGAGGACGGGAAGAGAGAGAAAGAAGCGGAGGAGAGGGGA